TCAACTTAGATTCCCATGGAGAGAACTGGATTCCTCAAGTGATAAAGCCAGGTCAGATCAGTGACCTAAGTGGCTCACTCCCTAGTTAGTCTTCCCCTCCCCCTGCAGAGATTTCTGAGAAATCCCTTTCTATCCCTCCCTGCTGATCACTGAGATAGAGTCAGCAGCATTTCAGTTCACTCTGTCCCTCAGCATGGGGTTGAGAGATGTGGTCCATCCTTTACCCACACCCAATACCATTCTATTCTTCCCAAAGAAAGGTCACAGAAGACAAAGTGGCAGATGGGGACAGTATTTGGGTCAGGTGCCCCCAGCAGGCCAGAGAGACAAGTCTTTTCCCTTCCTTTCTCCTCTCCCCAGGACGCCAACCCAAGGACACTTGATTTGAGGGGGATGCAGCCTGGGGATCCGAGCATCCTCTGCTTTCCTAGGGGTAAGGAGGGAAACTCTGGGGCAACCAGGGGTCTGATGGGGCCTGGTCAACCTTGGTAACCTTGCTTCTCTCATTCTCAGGGGTACTGACGGGGGATCAAGAGGAACCAAGTAAAGTAGTGCCAATGATGAGTGGGGAGTAGGAATGAAACGGGATCTTCTTAGCGAAGTTTGAGGCGACCCTGGCAGCCATCCCAGGAAATCTCAGGGGTCTGGGAAAGGGATGGAGCTGGCTGATTGGCCACCCCCGTACCTGTATTTCATGCCAGTGCTCCGGCCGGTGCTCTCTCGGAGGGTCCCAGAGGGCGCTGGGGGTCGGGGAACGGGCACGGTTCGGGCCTTGGGGCCCGACCCTCCTCCCCCCGGAGGATTCCCATGCCCCCCGCCGACAGGCCCGCCATTACCACCCCCAGGGCCCGGCCGGGCCCCGCACAGACGGTCCTCGCTGCTCCGGCTGCGAAGGTTCTGCTCGGTACAAGCGATAGACACCTGCATGCCGGCTAGCCAGGGCTGGGGAGGGGGCTTAGAGAGGGCGTGGGGCCCAGGGTGCTGTGAAGCCCGAAGGCACAAGCCAGCGGACGCAGTGGGATGAGTCCCGGCTGAGCTAGAAGGCTGAGGGGGCTGCGGCGGGAGCCTCTGGGAAGGAGAGGGCCCGCGGGGGCGGGCTGCTGGAGGTCGCGGGGTTTGAGGCGGGAGGAGAGAAACGCAGGGGGCGCCAGGATATTCGAGTGCAGGGACACTGGCGCAGGAAGTAGGCAGATGAAATGAATGAGGGTAAAGGTCGAAAGCAGTTCTCAAGAGAGTAGGAACCGGAGACCAGGGGCGCCAAAGAGGGGAGCCACCTAAACCCAGCCGCAGCGGGACCCGCTAGACTCCCAGCCGCTTCGCAGCTGGCACAGCTCATCAACATGCAGACACCGCCCCCTCATCTACATAGAGCTGCCCGCCTCCTGACCAAGGCTGCGGCTTATCAGCATAAGCCCCGCCTGCTGAGGCCCTGGCTGCCACTCACTTTAATAAGGAGAGAGGGAGAGAAACCAAGGAGAGTAGTTCCAACAACTCTAGGGCAAATGGCAGCTCAGCAAGTCTCCAGCTCCGTAATTCTAAACTGAAAGCTATTTTGTCCCCCAGGGGGCACTTGACAGGGTGGCACTGTAGGGTAGCACTGGACTTTGAATCACAAGGTCAGCAGTTCAAACCCATCAGCTGCTCCTCCGAAAACCTATACAGAGTCACTATGAGTCGAAATGGATTCAACAGTACTTAATAACAACAGCTGACATTTAGAAGTCCTGGTGTGGTGCTGCTGTAGAATAAGCACTGGACTGCTAACCACAAATTCAGTGGTTCAAACCTACCAGTCGCTTCTCGGATCAGAAACCCTATACAGGGTTGCAATGAATCTGAACCGACTCACTGGCACTTAACATCAACGACAGTAGCACTGGTGGGTTAGGCGTTGGGCTGCTAAAGGAAAGATGGGTGGCTCAAACCTACCAGCTGTTGGAAGGACAGAGATAAAACTATCTGCTCCTGAAAAAAAGTAGTCTCAGAGCCCTGCATGGGGTCCTGATGAGTTGGAATCCTCTTGATGACAGTGGGTTTTGGCTGACATTTTAAATTGGCACTTCTGGGAGGATGCTACTGGTATATTCAGTGAATGGAGGCTAGGGATGCTGCTAACATCTGCAATGTACAGGATAGTGCATCCCATTGCCCCCCAACAAAGAATTACTCAGCCTAAAATACTAGAGCTGCTGCTGAGAAACACATCACAAAGCTTCTTTGCAGCACAGGCCTCAAGGGCTGTGTGGCTCACTCTAGTTCCTGCCTTCCTGGTGGAGCAGACCCAGGGCCTCCCACTCAAATGACAAACGCAGGCTATAGAGGATGACAAAAAGTTTATTTTGTGTCTCTTGAAGGATCATTAAGGGAGAAGATAGAAACTCTCCAGGACAGAAGGCCTGGTTTGGAGGTGTGAGGTCTCCTATGGAGTCACTTCCGGTGGCTGAGAGGGCACCAGAGAACCAGAGAGAGAGGCTTAGGCTGTTGCCCCTGGAGGGTTCTGAGGTAAGGGGTAGGAGGGTGGTGGCTTCCAGTGGGGTCCTTAGATGACAATTTAGGAAAGTTCCCAGGCAAATATGGATTCTTCTCAGGGTGAGTGGTTGCTTCCATCAGCCAGCCCGGGCGGAGAAGAAGGGCAGAGATCGGACATAGGAGTCCAGTCGGGAGCGGAAGAGCTCACTTTGCACAGTTTGACCCAAAGGGCACAGAGGGTTTTTTACCACCAGTTCCACGTACAGCTATAAAGAGGAAGAGCGTTAGAGTCCCCCTTGGGACACTTCTGTTCCCAACTCCAAACCTCAGGGTGTGTGAAGGTTCATCATCATCGGGAGAAATGATTGGATTAAAAAAACCTCAAGAAAATTCTGATGTCAATAATGATATAATACAGTACTCTATTACATGTATAGAGGTAAACTGAGAGTCTTAGTTCTAAGTGGCCATGGCTGTTAAGGAGCTTTGGGGGAGGGTCTCTGGGACTAGCACTGACCGCACTGTAGATGTGGTGCAACACATCCCGGATGGGTCCCACGCCCAAGTCAGTATTCATGACAACCTTGATTCCAGTGGGCGTCTCGTAGTAATGGAGTTTGTAACGGCTAGTTTGGAAAGCCAGGAAGCCGTCCTTCCTGTAGAGATATGGAGGATGTTAAGAAACGGGAGTTAATCTTCCCGAAAGAGATGTGTCTGATCCCCTTAAGGTCGTCCAAATGCATCCATCTCTATTCATAGGAGCTTAAGTAAAGATACCTTCCATCCTCACCTCTCTTCCTTTTAAGTTCCAGTACCTTCAGATCTTTCCCCCCCTCCCCCCCCCTCGCTGTGCCTGCCAGGTCCCACACTAGCATTCCAGACTCAGCCTCTAAGTCCCCTTTCCATCTCAGAAGATCAATGCTCCTCTTTCCCCTCTGGAAACTTTCCCTCACTCCAAAATTCCCAAGGCTAGCCCTCCTTCCCTCAACATCCCCTCCAATTCTGCGTACATGTCTAGCGGGGACATCTTGCTGACAAACGATCGAATAGAGAAGAGCATCCCATACATCAGCTTGTACTCCTGCAGAGAGAGGGACAGAGTAAGCTCTCAGTTATTGATGAATAGGAATGAGGACCGGCCAAAGTTTGGAGGAAAGGCCTCGTCTGGGACTATGTGCATTTGGAGATGAGAGATCATTGGGACTGAACCGGGGCCCCTGTGTCACCTCTTCCTTGGGGATCCCCGCTTGCTTCTTGCGGTGCCACTCGCTGTAGTGCAGACACACTCCATTACGGTCAAATAAGTAAAGATTGTGGACTGTCATCTGTAGGGCAAGGAGTATGAGCCTCACTCGGAAACCAGCCCCACGGTGGGCATCGGCTTTCAGCCCCTGACTCCTCCACCCAAAGGGGCCTTCCCCGGACTAATCCGACTCACCGGAATTGCTCCGAGTGTCTGTCGCTAGTCACTTCCGGTTTCTGCGGCGCCCGCCCCGCCCAGTACTCAAGCTGCAGCTTCGGGCAATAACTCTGCCCCCAACTCCTCTTCACTAGACTCCGCCTCCTCTTCGTAACCAATCGGTGGCCGCCGGAGTCACGCACGCGCGCCTATGCTCTTGAGCTACCGAATCAACGTGAGCTGTAGAGAGTGGGGAGGGGCTTGTGGGCCGGTGACGTCATCGGAGCGAGGCGGGCCTGGGGAAGGTGGGCGGGAGGCAGTCAACGGTTTTGATGGGACTGCGTGGGGCGGGGGAATCTAGGCTTTTCCGAACCGGGGCTTTGGGGAGGAAGCGATTACCTGTTTCTTCTTGGCAAATTTGGGGTGAAGTGGGGACTGGGGATGTGGAGATTGGTTGAGGTTAGAGGACTTCAGGCTAGACTTGAGGGCAGCGTTCGTTTGGGGCACGTCTGAGGGCGGCTGAGGGTTTAAAAGGTTTCTTTTGGGGTAGTGGGGAGAGAGCACTGTAATAGCTCTTCTGCTAGGAGGAGTAGGAGCAAGTATGCAAGAGAGTTGAGTCTGGGTAGAACTTTTGAAGGAGGGTGGTGCGTGAGATTCCTGTTTCTCTTGAGACTTTGAGTCAGTTGGGAGCAAATAATGCAACTGGACAGAAACTAGGCCCCTGTTGGTTTTGGGTCTGTTTCAGTTGATACCTTCTGGGTGTGAGGACTTAAAAGAGTTCAGCAGACATAGGATAGGTAGCCTGTGCAGAGGTGATCTCTGCAGTTTCTACCACTTCTAGTTGGGAAGAGGTGCTGTTGGTCTTCTGTCGCCAGTGGCTACTCCCTCCTACTCTACTCCCCTTCCCAAGTCATGGAAAGGAATACTTTAGTCTTCACCCATGGCCTCTGAGAGAAGTCATGGAAACCTTTCCTCTAGCCATAAAATCTCCATACCCTTGAATCACCAAGGATTCTTGTGTTAGTCTTCCTTGCTCCTAGATCTTTTTACAGTACTTTACCCTGGCTATCTTAAAAGTAGAACCAGGATATCCTAGCTCTCTACTGTTTCCATCTGTTTCTTCTTTGTACTCATGGCTACATTAGCTCCCAGCCCCAGTTCACCTCTCCGTTCTGATGATCTAAGTGATACTTCAGATGCCCCTGTATTGAACCAAGTGTCCTCTGAAGTGACTTCCCAGCTCTATGCTTCTTTGCGCCTCAGCCGGCAGGCAGAAACTACAGCCCGAGCCCAGCTGTATTTACCCTCCACCTCCCCACCTCCTCATGAAGCGTTAGAGGGCTTGGCCCAAGAGCTGAGTCGAAGCTTGTCAGTCGGATTGGAGAACAACTTGAAGAAAAAGGTGAGGGATGTGTGTCTTGGGAACCTTTGCAGTACTAGACACCAGAGTCTAGTTGTTGTTGTTGTTGTGAAGTGCCATCGAGTCGGTTCCGACCCATAGCGACCCTGTACAGGATTTCCGAGGGTGTAAATCCTTACGGGAGTAGAATGCCTCATCTTTCTCCCGCGGAGCGGCTGGTAGTTTCGAACTGCTGACCTTAAGGTTCGCAGCCCGATTCGTAGTCTAGTAGTTTAAAAAAAAAAAAAAAGCAACAACTGCTGGGACATGAACTCCTATTATTGGATTTCAAATCTAATCATGCTTATTTATACCTGGCAGTAGTTGGTTATGAGGGAGAGAGTAGCATAGGACACTATAATTTGGAAAACTAGTGGTTGTTGTCGTTAGAGACACCTGCACTGTGGGGTAGGTTGATGATCATGACTAGGACCTAGGCATTGAGAATGAGGATAAGGTTTCTCAACCTCAAGAGGGAACTCATTGCTGTCAAGTCAGTTTGACACATAGAACTCTATAAAGGATTTCTGACACTAAATCTTTTCAGGACCAGGCAGCCTCATCTTTCTCTCGTGCAGTAACTGGTGATTTTGAACCATCAACCTTGTAATTAGCAGCCCAATGTTTACCTTACAGTGCCATTAGGGTTCCTCAAGAGGAAACTAGGTACTTAAGAATAGCAGCAAACTATGCTAAAATCCTTCCAGCTCAAAACCATTCTGATTTATGGTTCAAGTTTGAGATGTGAACCATTAAAATATAGTTCAGTTAATGATACATACTACAGAGAAGATGGAGCCCTGGGGTGGTGCTGTAGAATAAACACTGGTCTGCCAGCTTCTCCTTGGAAACCCTATATAGGGTTGCTATGAGTTGGAACCAACTAGATGGCACTTAACAACAGAAAAAATGTTTGTTCCTTTTGGACAGAAAAGGTATCATAGCCAATATGCACATTTGACAACGGATAGGCTACAGGCTCTAGGAAGAGTATTTGCTCTCTAGTTGGCAAGAAGCTGTATAGCGCTCTTGCCTTAACCTGCCAAATTTACTGTCTACCACCACCTGTTTGCTTCTGTAGACATTAGAATTTTTGACTTAAGCTTAAGACATCCCTTCTTGAATCAGTTCTGTTTTGGTTTTTCCAGATGCTGAAACAAAGATTCTTGGGTTTTAGGGAGACAGTGTCATCTAAGGAGACCTGGTGGCACTGTAGGTTAGACATTGGACTGGTAACTGCAAGGTAGGTGGTTCAAACCTACCATTCACTCTGGGGAAACAAGATGAGGCTGTCTGCTCCTATAAAGATTTACAGACTCAGAAACTATACAGGGTCACTGTATATTGGAATCGATTAGATGGCAGTGGGCAGTATCTAGAAATGCCTAGGTGGTACAAATGGTTAAATGCTACTACCTAAAAGACTGGTGGTTTGTACCCATCCAGAAGTGGAACGTTTAACCGTTCAAACCTTATTGAGCACATTTCGACTCTGTAACATGTGAAGGTACCATGTGTCAGAATTTACTCAGTAGCAACTGGGTTAGTTTTCTGGGTGTTTTTGAGTGCCACCTACCCTGGCATTAGGTAGAATATAAATTACACAGATTTTATCTGATTTCTGCATTGCTTTTTTCTAGGATGGTTCTAAGCATATCTTTGAGATGGAAAGTGTCCGTGGTCAACTACAGAGCATGCTCCAAACCTCACGTGATACAGCTTATCGTGAGTAAACCCTTTCTCTAGTGCTACGAAGGCAAGCCTAGATTTAAGGAGTGGGGGAAAGTGGAGAGGGGATGCAGGGAGGAAAGTCTAGACTTTTGAAAGACATTGAGATTTCAGGAGAAAAGGCTTGTATGCTTTGATAATGCATGAACTGTAAGGCAAAGAGCTCTCCTTTTCAAGTGGTCTCTGTCTCTTTTTTACCTAACCTGGCTGTTGGGTCCCTCTTGGTTGCCTCCAGGGGACTCTCTTACTCCAGGTGTTAGCTCCGAGAGAAGGGAAGAAGACTCCTTTGACAGTGACAGCACAGCCACCTTGCTCAAGTGAGTTCCCCAGGGGTTTCTCTTAGCTTTCTTTTTTGGAAATCCCTTTTATATCTCTTAGAGACCTAAGAATTTTGTCCCCTGGCTTTTAGTTTTCATTTTTATTTCTCTTCAATCTTCTTTCCTCTTCAGGAACATGAGCATCTTATGCCTAGTACCTGTCTTTCACTCCACCTCTAACCCTTAGAAGAATTATTTAGTGTCTGCAGAGATCTTTATTGAGGGAGCCCTGGCTGAGTATTGGGGTATGCATTGGGCTATTAACGCAGGGTTGACAGTTTGAATCCACCAGCTGCTCTGTGAAAGAAAAATGAGGCTATCTGCTCCTGTAGAGATTTGCAGCCTTGGAAACCCTGTATAGGGTCGCTATAAGTCAGAACTGATTCAGTGGCACATAACAACAACATCTTTACTGCGGGAAGTGTGATACTGAGGAAATAATGTTGTCGGGTGAATCACAGAACTTAAGTTCTAGTTATTGCTCTATCACTGCCGAGCTTTATGACTTTGGGCAAATTGCTCGTCCTTTCTGGGTTTTAGTTTCTTCATTTGTAAAGTATCACAGTTGAGCTGTGGATCTCAAAAGCTTTTCCCACCTTAACATTCTTTACTGATTTGCTCAGCACCCGGCCTCTGCAAGACTTATCTCCATCTAGTTCAGCCCAAGCCCTGGAGGAATTATTTCCCCGCTACACCAGCCTTCGGCCTGGACCCCCACTCAATCCTCCAGATTTTCAGGGCCTGAGAGACGCCTTGGATTCAGAGCATACCCGCCGCAAGGTGAGATAGGGAACTTGAGTGCTGAAAAGAGCTTAGCTTTAAGGGCCCAAATGTTGGGATTTTGTTCAAATGTCTAGGGAGACCTTTGACTGCTCTTATCTAAAATGTCACATGGGGTCACTTTGAATCAAAAATTGACTTAACAGCACCTAACAACATCAAAAATCATACCACTTCTCTTTCAGGTATTCTGTCAAACCACTGTTAATTTCCTTCTTAGAGCTTATCACTTGGTTGTTTAAAACAAGTGCTATTATCTTGTTTGTTTTTCCGTCTAAATCTAAACTCCATGAGGGACATTACTTTGTGTGTCTTTTATTCAGACCTATCTCCCTAGGGTCTAGAATATAGCTAACTCATAAAAGCACTGCTTAATTATTGAATGAACAATGAACTTTGCTAGTTGGTGCAGAGACTTTATAGCTACTGGTGTGAACCTCAGCTGTAATATCTGAAGGGGGCAAGGAAGAGAAAATGTCAAAAATCATTGACTGTCTTTTTGGAACCCACACTTCTATTTTAAACCATATCGGCATGAATGAGAGACTTTTCCCTTTATTCTTACTGTGTTTGACCATTATGTCCAATGAGCTTAAGGTGGGCCCAGTAAGAGCGCCAGGTTACTGCCAGGCTATCTCTCGCTTTTTCTAGTATAGGCTACTATACCCTTCCAAAGAGTTTATGGAATTTTTCTCAGGAGGTTCAGGGAAGGGAAGGTCTTGGAAGCTAAAGCATCTATTTCCTGAGAAGATAAGAGGAAAGTGTTGGAGGTCTCATGCTTCCTGTTCCAGAATCCCTGATTTTCTTTCTCCAACTCTATTCTAGTACTGGGGGCTAGAGGTTCCCTGTCTCCAGCCCATTTCCCTGTAGAAGAGCTGGATGATCAAGGGCTTTGGCCAGATTAAGAATGGGCAATACTCAGACTCATAATCCTTCTTCCCAGCACTGTGAGCACCATATTCAGAGCCTACAGACCCGCGTGCTAGAACTACAGCAGCAGTTAGCTGTGGCTGTGGCTGCTGACCGCAAGAAAGACATTATGATTGAACAACTGGACAAGGTACCAAGATAGCAAGATATGGATAGCCTTTCTACTGAGGATATGAGGAATAGTGAATTAGAGGGTGGCCGACCAACATTTCATTGTACGTTGTAGGACCTGGCATAAAGGATGGGTTTACCAACTAACTGTTGGTAAAAGATGGCTGTTGACCCTGCCCCTTTGGGTGAAAAGAGGGGTAAATTATTTTGAAATTTCCTTTTACTTACCCTTCCTGAGACCCTGGCCCGTGTGGTAGAGGGCTGGAATCGGCATGAAGCTGAACGGACAGAAGTGCTTCGGGGACTCCAGGAAGAACGCCAGGCAGCTGAACTCACCAGAAGCAAACAGCAGGAGGTAGGCAACCTGGGTCATAAAGCATTAGAACTTAGGTCACTGGTTACTAGATGGAAAGGGGCAGCAATAGCTCCAGAGTTAGGGCTCCCAACAGAATGATCTTGATCTCACTGTAGCTGTCCTGCTAACTCTTCTCCTGTGTCCTTTCCCTTCACTGTTTCTGCTACCATACTTTCAGAGTTGATATATCCCCACTTTCCCCCACGCCATGCAGTCTTCTCTTTGGCCCCCAAGTCATTTGGTATCTTGTTAATGCTTTTTAAAGTATAAAGGTATTTTCCTTAGTGTTCCTCTGTTTTATGTACTTCTTTCCCTAAAAGACAGTAGCCCGCCTGGAACAAAACCTTTCTGAGACCATGGAGGCCCTGAATCGTGAGCAGGAAGGTGCCAGACTACAGCAACGGGAAAGGGAGACACTGGTGAGAATTCTAGGACTAGGTTAATTCCATTGTTAATTGCTTCTACAGAGTTATGGGCTATTGGTAGATTATGGGTGTTTATAGTTTGAGTTGCACCAGGGCAGTATTTCTTAAAGTTCATTCCTGAGAACACTTATTCTGCTAAAGATTTTACAATAAATGGCCTCTGGAACCAAGTAAGTTTGAGATAGTCAAGAAAGTTCAAGAGAGAGCTCTGGGACCAAGTAAGTTCAAATTATATCATCAGAGTATTAGAATTATCTGCATAATTGTTTTAAAATCTAGATTCCTGGGACTCATCCTTTGAGTCTTTGTTTGATTCAGTAGGTATTTGGTGAGGTTGGGAGCCTAAACACTTTTAATAGAACTTTTCCAGTTATTTTGTGCAGCCAAGTTTGGGAACTTTGGTCTAGGATACAGCCTAAAAAGGTATGGGTTGAAGCTTCAAGTTTCTTAGAGCTAAAATGATGAGATGATTACCTATGTGAGTTAGTATCTAGATTTGGAACTTGCTGCATGCATGGTGCATGCTTATGACATGCATGCTGGTACTTGGAGTCTTTATGTACTACATCTGATAGTGCTGATGATGGCGGTTTGCTGTTTGATCTGCTAGTCTTATGGAATTTCTTTTGATAATGATGGTGATGGATATTATGTATTACTGTGTATATTAAATACTTATTATTTGCTAGACACTGTTAAATGCTTTTCATACATTTGTATGTGTTTTAAAGCTTTACTCCTCATATTCTTTGAGGTAATTTTTACTTTAATCATGTTATGGTATGCTCTCAATCCCTAAGAGCTAACAATAGATGACAGGATTGGCATTCAAACTGAGATTTGAACCCGGGTCCAGTTGACTCAGGAACAGCTACCTTAAAGGGCATATTGTTGTCTTTAAGTGTGTCAAGTCGGTTCTGACTCATTCGACTCGGACTCATAGTGCCCTATCATGGGGACCCTGCCATAGGGTTTCTGAGGAGCCACTGGTGAGCTCTAACCACCAACCTTGCAGTTGAAGTTGATCTTACAGTCCAGCACATTAACTCACAACACCACACCAGAATCCCATAATGCTTAGCATATACATTGTGTGGGAGGGGACAGATTGCCAGTCTCTTGAGAGCTTGCTTAGGATCTTGGTTTTCTCTTGGGGCTATAGGAAGAGGAAAGGCAAGCTCTGACTTTGAACTTAGAGCTAGAACAACAGCGTTGCCAGGCCCTGCAAGAAGAACGGGATGAGGCTCGGGCTGGGCAACTCAGTGAACATCGACAGTTGGAGATACTTCAGGCTGCCTTAGCAGAAGAGCGGCAGAGATGGGCCCAGCAAGAGCACCAACTAGAGAAACACTGCCAGGCACTGCAAGAGGAGGCACAGGTTCAGTTGGAAAGGGAAAAGGTAAAACCAGTGGTTGGAATAATTGGGGAATGGTAGCAGATGAAGGATAGAATAATTGAATGGGGCAGGATGTCAGAAGATATAGCGACAAGGATGGAGACAGTGTCAGGTTACCCAATAAATAAGGTAAGCATGTACTTGTACTTACTAAGTAATCTGTAGCTATTGTTGTTAAGTGCCGTCGAGTTGGTTCTGACTCATAGTGACCCTGTATAGGGTTTCCAAGGAGTGTCTGAGGAGTTTGAACCTATTGACCTTATTGGTTCAAACCAACTTTGTGGTCCAGTGCTTTATCCCACAGTGCCATACAGTACCATACCAGGACTCCATTTTTTCACCACATCAAAGATTCTACTTCTAGTTTTGGCTGGCATCTGTCTCTCTCCTAACATCACAGCACCTTCTTATAGAACAAAGACTCTTTTTAAATTTACTATCCTTGGCAGGGACAGAATACACATTAAGCAAGGTAAGCATGAACTTTTTTTTTTTTTTTTTAAGGTTTTTATTGTGGATTGAGTGAAAGTTTACAGGGCACATCATCAGTTTCACATTCAACCATTCATATGACTTGTTTCATTACATTGATTATAATCCCCTCCATACATCATCAGTCAACAGTGTTTCTCTGTATCCTCTTTGGCTTTTTTTTTAAACTTTGCCTTTTTAGAATTTACAGTCTCGGCTTTTAGGGAAGGTTTTTACATTTATCTGTGGATATCCAGGGCTCATGTATGTGATTACTAACAAGCATAACTGAATAATCAGATGAGGCACAGTTTGCTATATCTGCTAGGTGGCTAAAGTCTGATCCTCAGAGCCTATGGTTTGGAAGGTCTGCAACGCTTGGGCCCATGAACTTACTTTTGTTTTCAGACTTACTAATCAAAATGTGGGGAAATCTATGTGAAATTGCTCACTACAGATTAATGAGCAAGCACAACTAAGCCTGTGCTTACCTTGTTTATTGGGTAATCCCTCCCTTACTGTACGTGGGAAACAAGATGGAGTGTGTAGGGCCAGCAGATAGGGTTGAGGCCACAATAGGATATGAACGGCCATAATGTGGGAGTAAGTGGAGATGGAGAGATAGGACAAATGTGAGGAGTGCAAGAGAAATGGAAGGGCCACTTGAGGAATAGAGATAAACAGGAGACAGGCAATGAGTGTACATGCTTAAATTTGACTTCTCTTTCTTAGGGGAACACCCAGAGGGAAGCTAAGATAGCCTTGGAGGCACAGCAGCAGTTGTCATTGATCCAATCCGAGATTCGGCGCTTGGAGGGAGAGCTGGACACAGCTCGGAGAGAGCGAGATGCCTTGCAGCTGGAAATGAGTTTGGTGCAGGTCAGGATACAGAGTTCTTGAAGGTTTTTGTGGTTGGGAGAAGTAGTTCTGGGGCAGAGTGACCTTCAGTCAAAACAAACACGACAGCATCAGATTAGTTATGGTTTATTCCATCAACAGTTTTTCTATGTAGTGTGGGTAGTGTTCTGTCTTAAATTCAGAATAAATTCCCACTGACTGTTTCCCATTGTGTGTCAGACTGACCCAGTGTTACTGTTTTTAGAGGTAAATAGACTAAATCTATTCAAGGTACCCTTTGTTATTTTCAAAGAAATGACACCACACTAAGACATCTCACACATGGTGAATATGAGTAGGTGAAAGTTTTATCAGAGATTTTATTGCAACCGCAATAGTTGGCTTTGTTATTCTTACTACTTGAATAGCGTATAAAAATGGCATGGGACCATAACTGACTTCCTCCAGCTTCACAAGGGGGAAGGAAAAATCAAACTTAGTTTCTATGAAGCAGTGGTCAGATAGGCTTCCACCCTCCAACTTTCTTTATCCTATTCTAACACCAACTGTTCTTCCCATGGTGCTCTATTTCTCCGCTGAGTTCAGTGTTGTTGTTAAGTAGTGTAGAGTTGGTTCTGACTCAGAGCAACCAACCCTGTATAGGGTTTCCAAGGAGTGGCTGGTGGGTTAAATCGCTGACCTTGTGGTTCTTAGTCCAGTGCTTCTCCTACAAAGCCATATCAGGACTGAGTTCAGTACTTCATTATAATGGCCACAAAGAACTCCAGATAATTAGGAAAGTGAACAGGGTACAATTGAGGATCAGAGACAACTCTCTTGTCATTGGCCTCTCAGCCATGCAGCCCCTTGGCCTCTGCCCTGCTCAGGTAAGTGTTCCAAGTTCCTTTAGCCTTGTGGATAAATGCCCAAAGGGCACCCTATTGTACTAACCATCTTCCTGCCCAAAGACACTAAGCATAACTGAGATCGTGGCCTGGGAAGTCCTCTACTGTGTTTTTCTGTTGTTGCCTCTATGCGCTCTACTTGTGTTTGTTTGTTTTTTTAAAGTTTTTGTTAATTGAGTAATAATTTACATGGGAGAACATTGGTTTTACACTCGTTTCAGTGCAATGATTACAGTCTCCTCCGTGTATCATCATTCAATAGTATTTGCTTCTATTCCCTGTTTTTGTGGTTGTTTTTTTTTGGGGGGGGGGTACACAAAAACACTTGGGGAATATATAATCATTTAAACTACCAAAGGGCACATTCTGCAAGTGCTTCCTGGCCACCAGCTCTCAGTCCCTCTCTTGCCATGAGTCTAGAGTCCTCAGCTGCGCCTCTCTCTCCATGTCCCCATCTCTTCCTCCATCTCTTGTATCGCTGCTTCTCTGGATAGGGTCCCACATTCTGCTCGTGCTGTTCTCCCTTGATGGTCCTAGGGTCGTCTGTTCCTGGACTGTAGGACTAACTACTCCCCCATTTTTGTTACAAAACTTCTACCTTTACATTTGTGACAGTTGCAATTAGTCATGGTAACAATTAACTTGTTATTGAATCATAAGAATCTTAGCCCCATATCTTTTCACCAGTGCTCATGGTTATTTCTTGTTAGTAGTGAGACATCCTTGTCCCTGCTTCTGAGCTGGCTTATTTTAAACCCAGCTTAGTGGCAAATTCTACCAATCCCCAAGATGCCCATACATCCTATTTGCATGGTCCTGTACTTCCTATTTCATTTAGGTAGGAGTTACAAAGACTGGGTGAAAGAGGCACATCAAGTAAATTCACTGTACTATACCTGGTGACACGGAGTCCTGTGGCACTGTGGGTTACTGCGCCAGACTGCAAAGCCGTTTGAACTTCAAGGTCGGCCGGAGGTTCAGCTCACCAGCTGCTCCTTGGAAACCCTATACAGGGTTGCTATGGTTCGGAATCGACTCAGCAGCACTTAACAACAACATACCTGGTGACACAGTGCTCAGCTGTTAACAGAAAGGTTGGTGGTTTGTTCTGTGGGAGAAAGATGTGGCAGTCTGCTTCCGTGTAGACTCACAGCTCTAGGATCTCTGGGAGGGCAGTTCTGCTTGGCCCTGTAGAGTCACTATGAGTTGGAATAGTCTGGATGGCAACGGGTTTGGTTTGGTTGTGGTATTTCTTTGAGTAGGTATGGACCAAGGATGTCAATAATTATTTTATTTTAACTTATGAAATCACCACAGTAACACATGACCTGACACAGAATAGTACTCAATATTATTTGTCAGGTATAATTATACTTTGAAAATCGCTTTCCATCTAGCTATAATTGAAGTAAAAATATAACATAAGATTCACCATTTTATATCTATTTAATCCTCTATTTTCTTCCAAAAAGTCTTAAAATTTTGCTTTTCACATTTACTGTCTCAGTACATAGAATTAAATTTTGTGATGATGAGGTAGAAGGTAGAAGTCAAATTTCTTCAGTTTTTTGTGTAATGTTCACATAAAATTTACCATTTTAATAATTTCAAGTCATACAATTCAGTGTTATTTGGCACATTGACAATGTTGTGTAACCATCTATCTTCTCTCTAGTTATGGAACATTTTCATCACTCCAAAAGGAAACCCTTTATCCATTAAGCATTCATTACCCACTGACTCCCAAACCACCACCCCGCCCCAGGCAATGGTAACCACTTACTTGTTTTCTCTCAATGGATTTGCCTGTTCTGGATATTTCTTGTAAATGGAACCATATAGTATATGTCTTTTTGCAGTTGACTTATTTTGTCCAGTATGATGCTTTCAAGGTTTATCCATGTTGTAGCATGCATCAGGACTTCATTTCTCCTGGAGTTGAATGATATTCCATTATATGTGTATACCATATTGTGTTTATCCGTATATCTGTTGGACACTTTGGTTGTTTCTACATTTTGGCTTTGTTTAAAGTGCAGTACACACTGGTATACAGGTTTCTGTTTGTATTCCTGCTCATTTCTTGTAAGTATGTATATACCTAGGAATGACATTGCTGGGTCGTTGTTCTTGTTGTTAGATGCCGTTGAGTCTGTACCGACTCATAGCAACCTTGTGCACAACAGAATGAGACACTGCCTGGTCTTGTGCCAATCTCACAATTGTTGCTATGTTTGAGCCCATTGCTGCTGCCACTGTGTTAGTCTATCTCATTGGGGGAGAGGGTAGTCCTCCTCTTTTTCATTGACCTTCTACTTTACCAAGCGTGATGTCCTTCTCCGGGCACTGGTCTCTTCTGATACTATGTCCAAAACATGAGAGACTAAGTTTGGCCATCCTGACTTCTAAGGAGCCTTCTGGCTATACTTCTTCCAACACAGATTTGTTTGTTCTTCTGGAAGTCCATGATTCTTTTAATATTCTCCTCCAAAACCATAATTCAAATGCATCAAATTATCTATGCTCTTCCTTGCTCATTGTCCAACTTTCACATGCATATGAGGCTAATTGAAAATACCATGACATGGGTCAGGTGTACTGTAGTCCTCAAACTGACATTTTTGCTCTTGAACATTTTAAAGAGGTCCTATTTAGCAGATTTGCCTAATGCAGTATATCATTTGATTTCTTAACTGCTGCTTCTATGAGTGAAGATGGTTGATTGGAGCAAAATGAAGTCTGACAACTTCAATCTCTTCTCCATTTATCTTTATGTTATTTTTTGATCCAGTAGTGAGAATTTTTGTTTTCTTTACATTGAGGTGCAACTCATACTGAAAGCTGTGGTCTTTGATATTCATCACTCCTCATTGCTGTCAGCAAGCAAGGTTGTATCATCTGCTATTGCAGGTTGTTAATGAGTCTTCTCCAATCTTGATGCCATATTCTTGTTCATAAATCAAGTTTCTCTGATTATTTGCTCAGCATACAGATTGAATAAGTGTGGTGGAAGAATACAACCCTGATGCACACCTTTCCTATTTTAAACCATTCTGTGTTCCCCTTGTTCTGTTTGAAAGACTGCCTCTTGGTCTATGTACAGGTTCCTCATGAGCACAATTAAGTGTTCCAGAATACTCATACTTCTCAGTGTTGTCTATAACTTGTCATAATCCATACAATCAAAAGCCTTTGCATAGTCAATAAAGCACAGGTAAACAATCTAGTGTTCTCTGTTTTCAGCCAAGATCCATCTTACATCAGCATTGATGTCCCTTGTGTCACATTCCCATCTGAACCACTGGCTGCTCCTTGTCAATGTACTGCTGCAGCTGTTTTTAAATTACCTTTAGCAAAATTTTACTTGCATGAGATATTAGTGATATTGTCTGATGATATCCACATTCTGTTGGGCCCCTTCTCTTTGGAATGTACATAAATATGGAACTCTTCCAGATAGTTGGCCAGATGTCTTCCAAATTCCTTGGCAGAGATGAATGAGTGCCTCCAATGCTGCATCAGTTTGTTGAAAGATTTCAATTTGTACTCCATCAATTCCCAGAGCCTTGTTCTTTGCTAGTGCCTTCAGTGTACCTTGGATTTCTTCCTTCAGTATTGTTGGCTGTTGATCATATGCTACCCTTTGAAATGGTTGAACATCAACCATTTCTTTTTGGTACAGTGACTCTGTATATTCCTTCCGTCTTCTTTTGATGCCTTCTACCTCATTCAGTATTTTGCTCATAGAATCCTTTAACATTGCAAGTTGAGACTTCAATTTTTTTCTTCCTTTCCTTCAGTTTGAGAAATGCCTAGTGCATTTTTCCCTTTTGGTTTTCTAACTCTAGATCTTTGCACATTTCATTATAATATTTGACTCTGTCTTTTGGAGTTGCCCTTTGAAATTTCCTTTTCAGCTTTTTTTTTTTTTTTATCTCCTCATTTCTTCCATTTGCTTTAGCATCTCTACACTGGAGAGCAAGTTTCAGAGTGTCTTCTAGTATCCATTTTGGTCTTTCCCTTCTTTCCGGTCTTCTTAATGACCTTTTGTTTTCCTCCTGTGTGAAGTTCTTGAAGTCATCCCATAACTCTTCTGGTATTTATAGTGTCTAATGCATCAAATCTGTTCTTCAGTTA